ATAAAAAATAAAGTATCAATTTGCTTCGTTTTAAGTCAAATCCTATTAAACTCCCAAGAAACTACAAACTCTCCAAAAAGGATTTTCTTGCTATCTTTAATAATTTTGATAGAAGATAACGCTTTATAGTCTGTATATATTCAAATAGAATATGTATATTTCTTAAGAACTAATATTAGACTATAATTAAAAATATGTAATTTCTTAATTCCTGAAAATATAATATAGCCATAAATTTCTTGTTTTGCTTTAAAAGAAATTCTTTAAAAATTTAATATAGACAATAAATTGAAATAAATGATCGATCATACCTCTTCAGTCTCGATCGGCGATGGTGGATTGCCATTGCAGAGTGCAACTAGTCGTTGTATCGGTGCATAAATAGACGCATGATGTAGCAAGGGATACTTCGACCTGCCCAGAAATTTTCTTAAAAAGCTCAGGCAAATCGTTCGCATGCCAGGTGGCGTCTCTGCATTAGCCAAAGTTGCCAGAAGATCTAAGAGTTTGTGCTGCAAAAGATATTCTAGGCAGGGTCCAGGTTCATTTTCTTCTTTCTCTTCTTGCAATAAGATATCCAATAGTATATCCAAATGTCGAGGTATGCTAGTATTTTGTACAGGCACTTTACAATCGGTCAGATGACTCACATAGAAATTCATCAATTGCTTCCAGTGATAAGTGAAATCTTGCAATGGCGTCGCTGGTGGAGCTATCTAAAAGTATAGAGATCAATATTTTGAATAGAATGAACAATTGAATATAATTTACTTTCACGATTAAATTTTTAAAATAAATCAGAATATGGAGGAAAATAGAAAAATTTCAAGAAATTGTTTTGATATTCATAAATTAACACAAGATCGTAGATTATTCATTATTATATAATAACTTATTCTAATTTATTTTCATTAATTCTTAAGTATTTGTATCAGAATAAAAATTTAGCTCTATATAAGAAAGACTTTTTTAAACTAAATTGTGTCATAAATATTATCGGTAATAATTTCCAGTTGTCAATTTAAAATAATTCAAAATAATTCAAATTTTTCTTCTTTAAAAATTTTTCTTCTTGAAAATGAAATATTTTACGTGTATTATTTTATACTTATTTTATATTTTTATACATTTCTTATATATTTTTTTGCATTTTATTATTACTTTTTTTTGTATTTTTGTATTGTTCTTATTATATGAAAATACAATACACTCCTATTGAAAACAATGTCAATCGATTCTCTGAAGAATATTATAGTTAAAAAATTGTAAATCTCCAATTGTGAAAATATTAGAATAAGAAAAGTGCAAAATTATTCTGAAAAAGATAATATTCATTTAATAAAATATGCTTGAATTTAAATATAGTTTGTTAACTAAGTTAATTGTCAACCCACGCATGCTATCTTGGTACAGAAAAACATTGCAATCATCATATTCAATCGATTTTCTGAAGAAATTACAAGTTTAGATCTGAACAAGATCTATTAAACGCTACATGCATTTTCTCCTACAGAGTGTTTGGTTCTGTCGGAAGAGGAATTAACATATTATCGTGAAATGCAAGGGCGAAACGCAATTGCGCGATTTGCAGCAGACGCTATCGCTGCCGTTGTCACCTGATTATCACTCACCACGTCAATGGCATTCTTCAGAGCGATTTGAATGCCGCTGATCATGTTAACTCGCTTACGGGATACACTCATGCACAAAGTCCTAACTTTCATTCGTGAATTTGCGAAACGTTTCGGCGTGACGCCGTTTCATTACGCCTCATCATATGGCGGAACAGATTTTTCCGATAGCGGCTTTCCGCGATTTTGACGTGTTCCCCTACAATGCTGGTCGGTCAAAAGTGCACCAGGTGGCGACACCGAATTCATATATGCGCTTGTACCACATATACAGTAACGCAACTCTCCTGATGTTAAGTATACAGCACAATTATACTGTAACGTAAGGATGTTAAGCATAAGAAATGAAAATAATTCATTTAAATAGATTCTTACAACCACGCCTTACAGTCTTATAGCCTTATGTTATGTCATTGTAGACTAGGCTGTAGCGTATATAAAAATAAACTGCACATGCGCGAGCGAGGTATGTAACTAATCAGGGCATGGATATTCCGTCTCACTTCCCTCTATAATTTCTCCGTTTGTTAGCATGAGATGCCTATACAAGCATTTAATGTTCAAGAGTGGGATCCGTTTGACCACGTTAATTGATCAATCACTCATAGCATTTGAACAAAGGAAAACCTCTTGGCATTGGCCACTGTGAGTGACTGTGGTCAATCGTAACGTAGTCAAACTAGAGACCCTATAAGAAGAGACTCGTCAACTCGTCACGTGATGTTAGTAGACTCTGATTGGCTGGGGTATAGATTGCACACTGTGCTCCATGAAACGAAACAGATGTTTCAATAACCTATTTTGACAAATACATGTTATGTACTGTTACAGTGGCTGGGTTCCATAAAGCGCATATGCACGCATTTTGTTATAGTATACATAACATGAACTATAGATAAATGCGCGCATAAATATAAGCGCTTTACGGAATCCAGCCAATATTATGTGAAAGAAAGCAATATATGTACTTATAAATAAACTTTAAATTAATAAACGTAGATACATATATTGCTTATATATTGCATATATTGCTTTCTTTCATAATTATAAAGATATGATAAATTAACCGTTTGAGTCCCAAGCAGCGCGATCGCGCTGTTGAGATTTTATGTCGAGAAAACCCAGCACATTTCGAGCATTATGGACAACTGACGGTGCGTTACCGATTGTCGAAGTCGCGCGGTCAGATTTATTGACGCAAGTACATCATACAGCTCCTTTTAATGTAAATAGTACATTTTACAATAGGTAGAATAATACTATAATAATGCAATAATACATTACAAAATAAAAATTTTTATTTCATTGTTATCTCCTCAATAATTTTTATCGAACAAAATTTGAAATATTTATAAATTTACAGTACACATATGTAATAATACAGATGTATTTTATAAAAGTGCTATCGCGCTGCTTGGTATTTCTCGACATAAAATAAAACAAGCGCCATCGCGCTGCTTGGGTCTTTTCGTACTCATTTAGAGAAAGCGCGGTTGCGCTGTTTGGGATTCTTCGACAGTGTTTTTTCAATACCCCCTGGGACTCAAACGGTTAACTTATGTATAACGTATAACTATGACACAGTACTGTAACAGTACATAACATGTATCTGTCAAAAGATTATTAGATTATTAAAACATATGTTTTGTTTTATGGAGCATAGATGTACAATCCATACTCCAGCCAATCAGAGTCTACTAACGTCATGTGACGAGTCTTTTCTTATAGGATCTCTAGAGGTGTGTTCCTTTATTCACTCCGAGTATTATCAACTACGAATAGCGTTCCAATATAGAGACCAGTGCATTACGAAAGTACTGCCTTGAATTCTATGACGTCATTGATTTTGACGTATTTCCTGTTGCGGCTATTGCAACTAGCGAGGTAAAGCTGTAGAGTACAAAGATGGCTGTTTCTATGACTGATTTCTATGGATCTAAAAACCTTAATTGATGCTGAAGAAGATAAAGCATATAAT